CAGCTGTTTACAGCTGTAAAAATGAAATGGACAAAGCAATAGCCTTATGAGAAAACTCCTACACATTAGCTCTCATGTTAAGTTTACCTTCACAGGAATAAACCCTTAAAACATCTGGCTGCTGTGGCCTCATCTAGTAAAAGGAAAAATAGTTTTATCCTTTAAATGTGGTCCATAGTTCCTATAGTTTTGGGAATCTATGGACAATAAGGCTAAAAAAGACATTTTTAATGTAGCAAAGTTCAAAAGCACGCATCAGTGATATCGAGGTATCTTAGTGGTTCACCTGACAATATGAGAGGCAGGTTTTGAAGCAATATATCCTACCTTCCAGGCAACATCTCAACACAACAGTGTAGTAGAAGTGTCGTAATAAAGAGTTGCGGGTACAAGACTGGCAACTGACTGAGTAGTTGTTGTTTGTAGTTAGGATTTGTCCGATTTGCTAATTATTGTCTTCTGTTTCCAGTCATTCTACAGAATGTCCTAATGTTATTGGATAATGGTTTTGTATATTGTTTTTTCTTTCTAACACTTTAGAAGATAGAAAGGAAATACAAAGAGCCTGCGCTAAGACAAAATATCCTTCACACTGATCGTAAAAATCTGGATTGAGGAAAATCCCCTCTAGTCTCTATAATTCACACTTGACTGCACAAAATGATCTAATTGTTGCAACCTGGTGTATTGTCAGACAAAACCCATTGTGTTTTGCAGAATGGTGGACTTGGTTCTGATGGCTTGACTACAATGTCTTCAGCTTTTATGTTGATGAATACATAGAAATTGTAACTTTAAATGTATTTAATGGTGTGGCAAAGATTCACATTCAGGTTTTTCTCAGTTAAAAATAATTACATTATTATTTACATGAGACTTGGGCGTAATGAAATGTAAGCTCACAGGAATGCGTGTGAGCTAGAACCATAAGCCATAATGTAGTGCGCCAGACAGACAGAAAATCACTCAAACTGCCAAGACACTCGACTCTAAAATCACTGTGTCATCAGAGACACTTGAGGCCTTCCTCAGAGAAGCTGTCATGTATTCACACGGAGGACACTTATGCACTTATGCTTATTGGCTGCATCAGGTGTGCATGTATATGTGCGGGAATAAATGTGAAGAAACATTGCAAATAAGATCAGAGGTTTTAATGCTTTTAAAGCATTTTAGTGAGTGGGAATTGCTTATATGTACTCAATGTATTCACATTCTACAGTGTCTCCTTCAGTTACTGGAAATTTTACTTTTTTTACAGGCATTAAACGAGCCAAATATCAACCTGTGATCTGTGTTAGCTAATGTAATGGAAACTTATATTTAGAACACAAACTCACATCTATTGCTTCACAGGTTTGATTATTAAGATTGTCCACATCTATGTTGTGGATGGATGATTGCTGACTTAAGGTTCACATAGACACACCGACAGGGAACAAGCAGTGACATCAGATTAAGGTGCAGCAATGGTGTGTGAAATAGAATATATTAACGCAGACTATACCGGAACAATGAAGAATTAGAAACATTACAAATGGCGACATATAGAACAAGTATTGCAGATATAGTTCTTAGTAAGGTACTGTAGTTCAGCTAAGTTTAAGCATTATGATGATTTTCAATAAAATAAGTATACAAATTCATATGTGAGTTACTCATTACGAGTATCAGTCTACAGATGCATATGTTAGCAATTTGAGTGGTAATTGTGATTTTTATATCTTTCTCAAGTCACGGCAGCATTCTTTAAATCATAACCAGCAGTGAACCTTATATGCTGTTAACATCGCAGATGTGAATAAATACTCCCTA